CAGGGGCCATGATTCCTGCTCTTTTCATTTCTTCTACCTGATCCTCACCTTCCTCCACCTACACGTCCAGTCCGCTCCTGGCCACGAGAGGACACCCCCGTCGCACGGGGACAAAGACCGTGATGGCCTGAGGGCACTCGCCGGACTCCCAGGAGGCCCACCCTCTCCTCTCGTCACCCTGACACCCGCCAGGAGCAAGTCGGGGCTGACTCACCCTCCCAAGAATGTGACAGAAACTTGGGCGCTGCACCAGAGGGAGGGGCGCCCGGCCTCCTGGGACAAGGGACAAAACCCAGGCCTGGAGAGGCGGCCGCAGTGAGGTCACCCAGGCCCGTTCCGGCTCCTGGACTCCAGGCCCCCACACCCAGGCTGACCTCACCACCGGCCCCACACGGGACGACGCATTCCCAGGGCTCTGAAAACGCCAGAGGTTAACATCAGCTCCGCTGCTGGGCAGCTCCTGACCCGGCCTCTGTCTTCCCAGCCGGCGTGTGTGGCTCCGAAGGGACGTACCCCCTTTGTCCCCCGCCAGCCGCCGGCTTTCTCGACATTCAGAGTGGGCAGAAACAGCGCCACGTAACAGACCGCAGAGCACACCACTGTGCAGTGGGCTGTGCGTCCCAGGTGCTTCTCTTCCGTCTGAGGCTCGGATCTGCCATTCCGGTTTCTAACTTACAACCTGGCCTCTCTGGAAACCTCTCAATGGGGCTATGTTATGTGGATGCTAACAGATTCTGGCCCCTGTCCTAGAATGGATCCGTTTTTTGGTGCTTGGAAGGAAAGACAGCGTTGAGGGGGCAGGTTTGGGGCGAGACCTAAATGCCCCATGGGGTCGATGCCCCCGGTACACTTGCGGGGCGGGGGAGGGGTGCCCCTGGGGGCTGCGCCCACCTCACGCCTGGAGACGTCCATGAGCACGGCGAAGCTGGCCGTGTGGCTGCATTGACAGGCCACGTGGGTCCGGTTTCTGGACAGCAGCTCGCAGCCCTTGGCCGACCAGCCTCCAGTCCCACCGGCGCTGCGGAGAGAGAGGGGCACGTGATTCCCTCCAGGGCCGGCATCTCCCAGGCCCACCTGCCCCCGCTGGAGCGTGCCCAAGACACGGCACCACTGCCACCGCCATGGGGACCAGGGCCCCCGCGGCCGCTTGAGACCGTGTGAACACTCTCCGTTCGCCTTGGCGGCTGGCGCGGGCCCCAAAGCAGCAGCCTGCGAAGTTCGCCTCCGATGTGTCACCTAGCAGTAAAACTTAAATGGGGACCTCTCGGGTCCACCGCACGCCCCTTTGGTCAGAAACATTAGTCAGTTGTTAAAAAGGCCGCTTTGTACTTCAGTCTTCTTTGGAGCCTTGACTATTTAAGAAATAACATCTCACGTTCGCTTCACACTTTCATCTCTCGGTGGCTCAGTGTTTTACGGCCGCTGTCTGGAAACAGGGCCCAATTATTCCTCCCTGAGAAGCTCCAAATGACAAGCTGCCACGCGGGCGTGTCTCGGCCTCGGAGGCGGCCCTGCCCTCCCTGACTCTGGGAAAGTCCAGTCGCTTCTCTGATCCTCAGTTTACTCATCTGTGAAACGGGACGTGAAGGCCAAGGCATGTTTGCCAAGAACTTTTAAGATCCGGTATGAGAGCTGCCGCATACGCAGCAGGGAGGATGATTAGAGCTAATCGCCCGGGTTCGACCGAGTGACCACTCCAGACAGCCGAGCCGCCCACAGGCCGAGCCAACCCTCACACGTCCCATGCGGCGACAGCGGGCCCTGCACCCTCCCTCGTAAGCCGAGTGCCTGTTACCGCCCGGACACCACGCCGCCTGCTCATCGACTAGAATTTGGCAAACAAAGCAGGCGGGAAGAGGGCCACGCAGGCTCTGCCGAGCCAAGCCCGCTTCCCGGCGCGGGCCCCTGCAGGCCGGGGGTCCGCCTGCCCACCCCGGCGGCGCCCCCGCTCGGTGGGCACCCACTTACTCTCGTGGAACCACGGTTCGTTTGGGGAATGTTTTGTTGCATAAGAACGAACTCCCAGATGCACAAAATTCTGTCCTAGGTCCACGCGTGGGGGCAGGGCACAGCCTCTGAGCGGTAGAACCGGCCCAGCAGCTGCTTGTCGGCTCCTCGGCACGGCCAGGTGAGGTCAGGCACCCCCTTCCGGTACGGGGATCCCCCCATGTGGGATTCCTTGCTGTTCTCCTCAGTCTCTGAGCCCTGACCCCCGTGTGTCTGGGACGGAACCCCGTCTCTTTTGGTGGTGGCTGGGCGCCTGTGGGCTGCTGTGTCACGGGAGCCCTGCAGGTGACCGGCCCTGTCTCCGCGTTGGCCTGTGCGTGTCACATGTGCACGACTTTCCAGGTGTGTACATCCCTGTGCATGTGTGTAACGGGGTGTGTGCACACACATATGAGCCATGTTTCCGGGTGTATATCTGTGCGTGTGTGTGCGTGCGTGTGTACACGTAACTGTACATGTAGGAGCTCTGACACCCGCAGAAGACACCCCCTCCCCCACAAGAGGCCGGAGGGGCGCACCAGACCAAGAGAATGACCCACGGGACACTGTAGCGGAGCATTGAGACCTGCCGAGTGCTGGGGAGCTGCGGGCACACCCCGGCCCCGGTGAGGCCCCCCCGCAGGAACGCAGAGCTCGGGGCCGGAGGTGGCCGCGGGCTCCCGGGGCGTCCCTCACGTGATGGAGTGGTTCCAGAAGACGCAGGCCGGCTTGGAGCGCTCCTCCGTCTCCAGCAGGGCGAGCTGCACCAGGACGGGCCGCTCCAGCGGGCCGGGGAGCGGGGCGCCCTCGCTGTGCACCGTCGTGCTCACCACCGGTGTGTTAAGGACGGGCCGGTTCGGCAGCCTGCAGGTGGGGGAAGACGCGCGTGAACCGGTCGCTGACGCCCACGTGCAGACACGGTGAGGACACGGGGTGGGGCGGGGAGCACAGCCCGTGAGCTCAGGGCCGCAGCCCTGCTCCTGGGAAGGGCCTGGGCAGCGGCCACGTCGGGTTCGGCGCAGGATTCGTCAGCGATGGGCCACACTCGGGGTCAGAGGTGAACTCTGGAAATTTAAAAGTGAAGAGCGGCCGTGTGCGCAGAGACGTTTCGCCGCCGCCCCATGGAACAGCAGACAAAACGCCCGACACAGGGAGCCCAGCGGCTCGGGCGGAGTCCCGTCCAGCCACCCAGGGGCGTGACGTGAGGACCACGGACCCAGGGGGAGCCCGAACGATGGGCCACACTCGGGGTCAGAGGTGAACTCTGGAAATTTAAAAGTGAAGAGCGGCCGTGTGCGCAGAGACGTTTCGCCGCCGCCCCATGGAACAGCAGACAAAACGCCCGACACAGGGAGCCCAGCGGCTCGGGCGGAGTCCCGTCCAGCCACCCAGGGGCGTGACGTGAGGACCACGGACCCAGGGGGAGCCCGAAATGACAGGAAAGCTGAAGAGGCGGAGCCTGCGTGTGCGCCCGCCTCTTGCCAGAGCCACGAGCCCCGCCGGGCAGCGTCTGCCGTCCCGGCCAGCACTCGCAAAGCGGCCCTTGGTGCTGGGCCGCCAGCGGCCGAGGCGAACGAGTGCGGGGACAGCCCCTCCGAGGAGGAATCGCACTGGGGAGCTGGTGGGTCGGTGTCCACGGAGGCGCGAGGCGGGGCGTGTGCCGGGTGCTCCCGGCAGAAACCCGGGGACGCTGCCCGCCCGCAGGCCCAGAGCCTCTGCCCACAGGAGACGACAGGGCAGCGCTGTCCTTACACAGGCGGTCAGGCGGGGCCCCCGTGCTCCCCGACCGGCCTTACCGGAGGCTACGGCGGTCAGGGTCATAGAGCTCGGGCAGCAGCTGTCCCAGGGTCCGGTAGACAATGACCAGGGCGACGGCGAACTGGCCAGGCTCCTCGGGGTGCCTCTTCTGCCTCCTGAACGGGGGGGCCTCCGTCTCGGCGCCGGGCCCCGGACGTGCAGTCTGCGGGGCGGCCCTCCGGCCG